ATTAGTCGAAGTACAATATCTCGACGTCTAAAGGAAGTAGACCTTTTAGGATGTGCTGATGTAAAAAAACCATTAATTAGTGCAAAAAAAAAAGCTCGATTAAATTTTGCACGGAAATTTGAACATTGAACTGAAGTTGATTGGCGAAAAGTACTTTTCTCTGACGAGTCAGAGTTTCAGTTATTCGGAAGTGACGGTAGAAAGTATATACGACGTCCAACAGGCACAAGATATAACTCAAGATACCAAATTCCTACCGTAAAACATGGTGGAGGTAACATGATGGTTTGGGGATCATTTTCTTATAATGGAGTTGGTCCATTGGTTGAGATCACGGATACTATGGACGCTATAATGTATCAACATATATTGACATAGCATATGCTGCCATATACAACTCAAAACATGCCACGTGGTTGGATTTTCCAACAAGATAACAATCCCAAACATTCATCAAAACTAATAAAAGAATTTTTCATCGTGAAAAAAATGCGGGGTTCTTGACTGACCCTCGCAATCGCCGGACTTTAATCCTATTGAGCATTTGTGACAAGGACTCAAACTACGTGCAGGAAATAAGAAACACTCCAATAAAGTTGAATTATGACAAGATTTGCAAACTCAATGACAAAATTTACCTCAAGATCGCATTTCTAATTTAATAGCATCAATGCCTCGCCGTTGTGCTGCAGTGATTGCTTCTAAAGGCATGGCAACAAATTAAGTTTAAAAATACGTTGACAACATTTTCTGTTATTATTTTTCAATAATATATTTTTCTTATGCATAAGAAAACTTTTTGGCGCATTACTTTTGTACTGTTTGTAATAAGACATTGTATAAAAATAAAGTATTTAGAATTAAGAGTTTGTATAGTTTATATAATTGTATGACAAATAAATACATTTTGTTTATATATATGTGTAAAGTTTTTAGCGCTCATTATGAAATGAATATATAATAATAATTGTGTGGCTCAAAACATGGCTTTTACACGCCACTATAGGTAACGTAAAAAACTATTGAAAACAGATTCACACATCATACGTTACTGAGCCGCGCACGGGGGAAAACGTAAGAGAAATAGCGATAGGCGGTGCGAACTGAAAATAGGGAAAAATGTATATATTATGCTAATCTGATTTATGATACTTAAAAAAACAAAAAAATATTTATCAATAACGGGAAGTCGTTTAATATCTAAGAAAATAGGTTATATCTAGTAAGCAAATTAATCGCAAATTGCACGCAAAGAGCATCGGCAAAAAATGCCCGTTTTCGGTACCTCGATTTTTGAAACTTTTTTTATGTCAAATGGTTACTTATGATGACCCAAAAATTCCTGCAAAATTTCAAGATGAGCATATGCCCCGTTTAAGAAATATAGGGGGTCAAAGTTGACCATGTCCAATTAAAAAATATAGCAGCTTCACATTTATACTCCAATAATAATGTCCAAAAAATTCAGCCGAAATGGTTCTTTTAAGATTTTTGGCTGGTGATTACGAATCTGAAGTCAGATTTTAAAAATTCAAAATGGCGGATCCAATATGGCGGACGAATTTTTCTTAAATTCATCAGATTCACTTGAAACTCGTTACTCGGGGGTTTTTGGGGTCGCTGATTACGAATCTAATGGTTAATTAACTTTTAACCAACACTAAATCTTCTTTGTCACTACATTAAACCTACTTTAACCCTACATAGAATCTATTTTGTCCTACAATGGACCTATTTTTCCTTACATTGGACCTACATTCTACCTAGGAGCGGTGAGCGTCGAGCGGACTGAGTCTCGTTTTAAAGAGTTCGGCCTAGAGTTACGAAACCCTGAAAACAAAAGACGATCAGCAGATCATCATTTCATTAACATTCCATTCCATCCTACATTTTATTTGTATCGTATGCTTGCGAATGTAATAAAATAAAAGTTTCAGTTTCGAAAATCTGGAAATATTGTTGTTTGAAAAATATTATTAATGACAAATGGTAAGATTTTTTTTGTATTCTTTGTTTTTTCATGCTAATGACTTAAATCTATGCTTTTTTGTTGGTTGGATTTGGCATTACATCTTGCCTTCGTTGGTTGGATTATTACATCTTGCCTTTGTTGGATATGTAGAATCCGTCATTTTGAATTTTTAAAATCTGATATCTCTTTCGTATTTGGTGAACCCCAAAAACCCCCGAGTAACGAGTTTCAAGTGAATCTGATGAATTTAAGAAAAATTCGTCCGCCATATTGGATCCGCCATTTTGAATTTTTAAAATCTGACTTCAGATTCGTAATCACCAGCCAAAAATCTTAAAAGAACCATTTCGGCTGAATTTTTTGGACATTATTATTGGAGTATAAATGTGAAGCTGCTATATTTTTTAATTGGACATGGTCAACTTTGACCCCCTATATTTCTTAAACGAGGCATATGCTCATCTTGAAATTTTGCAGGAATTTTTGGGTCATCATAAGTAACCATTTGGCATAAAAAAAGTTTCAAAAGTCGAGGTACCGAAAACGGGCATTTTTTGCATGGGACTTGCCGAGGCTCTTTGCAGTAAATTCGATCAAAAACCCGTATCAAAACCATAGCCATCTACGTCCGCATTTAGTTCGTGTTTTGATGTCAAGGCATGTTGCCGGATAAATTGCAACAAAAACCGCGTAAATTTACTGCAAATTGCTCAGCAGTAAGCTTTATTGCATATTAGCGGCAATTTGGCAACAGAATTTTAGAACTAGATCCTGCATCAAACTTGTTACCTATCTGCCATTAAAAATTGATAGATTGAAACTGTGCTCGTAAGGACAATGTTAAAAGATTCTGTTTTGTGCCCCTCGAGGCAACGGACAAAACCTATTAGAAACGTTATGAATAAGTATCTGAAAATGAACCTTGGAATGTCCAGAAGTAGGGGGAAATTGTTGATACTAAAACAAAAATACATATTATGAAAGATAAGGATAAATTTACGGAAGAGTTTCTGTGTTCTAAGTGCTACGTATTTTCACTATTGTTTTAAAGAGAATAAAAAACTAATATTTTTAATAGTTTTTTAATACTAAAACCAACAAGAGGATGCAATTTTCAATATACCATTTGTCCCACAAGAACTAGGATCTCAAAAGAGTGTCTTGACTCAATGTTACAAAACACTGTTTTTCTGTCCCTCGTGAGAACAGGTAAAACATATTGAGAACTACTTGGACTGGTGTATATTTCATGGTGATAAAGCTTAACATGTCCAGAAATACGGGGAAATTCTTCAGTTTTGAGATAGAAATATATTTTAACAGTATTGTGAGAAGGAAGGTGCGAAGGAAGTATTACAGACCTAATATGTATTACTAGCATAGTATTTGTTTATAAATATAAGTTTACCTAGTTTTGAAGACTTTTTGGTGTCACTTGAAACCAGTTTTAATGAATTTTTCTGCTTTTGGCGACAATCATCAAAAGTGGAAATCACCAAAACCAGTTACAAGTCAACAGGAAAGTCGTAAAAACCTGTTAAATATTCATTTTTTAACACTTTGAAGTGGAGTTGGACTGTTCTCGTACAATTGTACTGTTAATAAAAAGGGGGAGTGTTATTTATTGATTGTTAGCTCTTTTATTATTAGCTCTTCTCGAAGCTATTATTACATCAGTTCTTTTCAGAACTTTTTCTTTTAGGTTCCAACATAGTTGAAAATATCAGTTTAAACACGTTCCAAAATACCAGTAAGAATTTTCAGAAGAAAAACAATTACAATGCCGACTGTAGTACAAAAATTGCAAAAAACGAAAATAATTTTTGACTTGGCGGTATGTGGTTAATCAGCTGAGCTACAGTCGCCGCCACTTTCGAGCCAAACTGTATGAAGTGGATGAGAGGACCTGACTTTGTTCCTTGGCCGTAGCTATATAAAAAGGTTTAAAAAAAGGTAAATTGATGTAATTTGGTTAACACATATGTTCATCAAACAACATTCATCTGATCAAAAAGAAAAATCAATATGTTCATATTTAATTTTATTGATTTAACTTTAGGTTTTATACTACATTCGAAAAAGAAGAATTGATAATTGCCAGCTGTTTGTACCCCAAATTCAAATTGAGTTGGTTAGCCGGAGATAAGCGAAAACTTATGCAAACATATTTAGAAGATTTATTAGAGATCTCTTCAGCTGAAAATTCTTTGATGTCTGATAAGTATTATGATAACAATGACTTTTTTAATTTCAAACAGCAAACATCAAATGAGGAATCTGCTTATGATGAATAGCAAAGATTTTTAAAGTCAACAGACACTAATGTCCAAATATTAAATTCATATCCACTAATTAAGAAACTTTTCATTAAGTACTGCATTAAACACTGCAATACCAAACAGTGCATCAGTTGAAAGACTCTTTAGTGTCAGTGGTAATCTTAACGCTGCAAAGGAATCGCCTACGTGATGATAGCATGGAACATCGACTTTTGTTAAAACTGACCAAGTTATATTGTTAAACTGCTATGTAAGGCTCTACATTACACACACCTTACAGTCGTAAGGTGATAGAAATTAATAAATTAGTTAAATATTCTCCTTTCTCCAATTTCTTGCGATCTTACGATTTCTGTATAATAGCTATCTTAAAGGAAAAATAAATACTAATTTTTATAATGTAATATATCTTATAAATTCAATATTTATTTTTTCCTTTAAGATAGCCAAATCTGTGTTAACAAATTTTGAGCAAAGCCTGTTATCAACTTTTGTTAGCAAATAGGCAACAAATTTGATGCAAGTTCTGTTATATTAAATCCTGCTGCCAAACTGCCACCAGATACGGAGGATGGACAAAATAATGTGAACACCATGCTAAATATTACATATTTGTTTATGTTGGACCCCCTGCCAAGGTATGAACGGTGCGGCGCGTATATGTGGCGCACTTTACGTAGTAACCGTTCTAGTTTATATTTCAGTATACTACTCGCTTTGTTCTGCGACGGTGACAATCAGACGGTGAAATGGGCGACCTGTCAGACTTCGAAAGAGGACAAATCGTGGGTGCTCGGTTAGCAGGAGCATCTGTGACGAAAACGGCTGAACTGTTTAACGTTTCACGAACGACAGTATCCACTGTGATGACAGCCTATACAAAACATGGCAAAACAACATCTGCGAAGAGAAGGAGTGGGCGCAAAACAACGTTAACAGACAAAGACCGCCGAATATTAAAAAGGATTGTGGCCAAGCAACATAAAACTACCGCAGCAAAGGTGAAGGTACCGGAGCAGAACTCAAGTCACCTGAACAATCTTGTTTCGACAAAAATAGTGCAGCGGAAGCTTCACAAAAGTAACATTTATGGCAGGGCTGCAATTTCAAAACCTCATAATGGATGCCAACGCAAAGCTGCGAAACAAGTGGTGCCACGATCATAAAACTTGGACGATTGATGATTGGAAAAACGAACGTAGTATGGTCTGATGAATCATCGTTTACTTTGTTCCCTACAAATGGCCGGGTTTATGCATGGAGAGCCCCCAAAGAAGCCTACGATCCGGACTGCTTACTACCCACAGTCAAGCACGGGGGTGCCTCCGTGATAATTTGGGCGGCTATATCATGGTATTCCGCTGGTCCGATTATTATACTCAATGGCCGTATTACTACGAATGAATATCTAAATATTCTCAATGATGAAGTTCTTACTATGACCAGTATATTGTTGCCAAACACTGCCATATTTCAAGACGATAATGCGTCCATATACAGGGCAAAAAGTTCAGTTTTGGTTCGAGGAACATCGGAATATTATCAAGCATCTATCCTGGCCAGCACAATCGCCAGATCTCAACATCATTGAGCCGCTATAGGAAGTTTTGGAGCAGAGAGTGAGGAGCAGATTTCCATTTCCATCATCATTGAGGCAATTGGCAGAGATGGTGGAAGAATGGGACAACATTCCGTTGGATACTATCCGTACACTCTACGAATATATTCCGCGACGAATTACAGCTGTCTTAAAAGCAAACGGTGGCCCTACACGTTATTAATTAACAAATATTGTATATTAGTCAGGTGTTCACATTATTTTGTCCACTCTCTGTATATGACAGAGTCTACTGTCGGGCAATTGCTTCAGATTTGCAGTAAAAACCGCGCAAAACTTGTAATGATTTGATGACAGATTGGCAGCAGAAACAGCGCAGATCTTGTCGCGCGGCAGATTCTGCGCGGTTTTTGCTGCAAATCTGCAGCAATTGCCCGACAGCAGGTTCTGTCATCCATAGCTACGTAAATGCGAACACAGATGGCTATGGTTTTGATGGCTTTTTGGTCAAATTTGCTGCATATTTACGCGCAGTCTGTGGTCAATTTGCTTACTGGGTTAATAATATAAAATAATAAAAATATTTAAATATATACAGGTGTCTCAGAACTTTGGAACATGGGCTCCGTAGGGATATGGAGCTAAGTGAGAGGAACAAAAAAGTCCTGTACCATAATGTGAGAATCGTAGTAGTTTTTTAATAATAACCGCGTAAAGTTTGGTGTTTTCCACGCCCATCGCGGCCTATAGACGCTCCGCGGCAAGCTGTATGCGTAGGGGCTGAGCGATAACGCATCTCGTTTCGCGCTGAATGTTGCGATGGCGTCTTGGTGCTTTGACGCCGCACGACAGTCAGCGCGAGCCGCGTTATCGCTTAGCCCCTACGCATATAGCTTGCCGCGGAGCGTCTATAGGCCGCGCTGGGCGTGGAAAACGCCTAACATTGCGCTGTTATAATTAAAAAACTATTACGATTTTCACATTATGGCACAGGACTTTTTTATTCCTCTTACTTAGCTTCATATCCCTATGGAGCCCGTGTACTAAAGTTCTGAGACACCCTGTATACAGGGTGCACGATTTATCTGAAGACATTGAAATATCTCGAGAACTATGCATTGGATAAAAAAAGTGGTTAATGAAAGTTGTTAGTCTCGAAGGGGGACATCCAATGATACCAAACTCGACCTTCCACCCCACCCCCTGGGGGTAGGGATTGGGGGCAACTTTGAAATCTTAAATGGAAACCCCCATTTTTTATTGCAGATACGGATTCTACGTCACAAAATACGTAAATTTTGTCCGAAACTTTTTTTTTGATTCGTGATAGATGGCGCTGTAATCGCAAAAAATTATATTTTCCGCAATTCTCCAGAAATGATCATTGGACTGAGAAATAAAAAATACCTGTTCAATATTTTTAAAGAACATAATAAAAGTTATTCCCCCTTCCATCCTCTCGGGGTAGGATGGGTGGTAACGTTCAAATCTCAAATGGGAACCCAAATCGAAGAGGGAACTGCTCGACGCGCCACTGTGGGTGTATGGCGAACTACAGCTTATTATAAAAGGCAGTGCAATGCGGTCAAAGCTCACTTTTCTTTCAGAATTAGAACTGAAAGCATCTCTAACAATTTCATTTTACTTGACTAGTTTTTATTACCTGCATATCTACCCTTCATTCTTTGAGCAGAATTGCAAGTGGAAAATGAATTCTGCAACCGTAGAAGAAAAAATTGAAATGATTCTGATTTATGGTGAATGTAGGAGAAATGTTGACGATGCTATTGCCTTGTATGCTGAGCGTTTTCCAGACGATGTTCGCTCACGTTCTTTTTTTTACAAAGCTGTGACTGGCTTTATCTCGGATAGCAGCGTACAAACTAAAAAAAGAAAACGAAGAACTGTTACAGGAGAAGTTAATGAAATAGCTGTGCTAGCAGCTGTTCACCACAACCCACAGGTAAGCACTCGGCAATTACATCGTGATTTCGGAATTTCCGGAGATAGTATTCGCAGAATATTGCATCGTCATAAGTATCACCCATATCACATTTCACTGCATCAAGAACTTCATGGCGATGATTTTCATAATCGAGTGGTGTTTTGTGAATGGGCACTTCAACAAATGCAAACGAACCCCAATTTCATTGCTAATGTATTGGATGAGTGCAAAAGTTCGTGCGGAGTTTGTGAGTAAAAGTCATACAGTGATTAGGCAAACAAAAATCTTTATTCAATCAATGATATATTCTCCATCGTTTTCTATAATCTTTTCCCAACGTTCTGGCAGCATACGGATGCCTCGATCATAAAAACTGCGCGGTTTAGATTCGAAGAACGAAGAGACGCCGTTTTTTAAGGCCTCCAAAGAGTCAAAGTTTTTTCCATTTAAATAATTTTGCAATGACCGGAACAAGTGATAGTCAGATGGTGCGATATCAGGAGAATACGGTGGATGCGTTAAGACATCCCATTTCAGGCTTTTCAGTTTGCGCAGCGTCTTTTTTGAAACGTGTGGTCTGGCGTTGTCATGATGAAAGACGACTCCCTTGCGATTTGACAAAATCGGACGTTTCTCTTTTATTTCTCGATTCAGATTGGTTAATTGGCGACAGTACTTGTCCGAATCAATCGTTTCGCCAGCGGGGAGAAGCTCGAAATAGATTATGCCCTTGCAATCCCACCAAACAGAGAGCATCACCTTCATCGGGTGCAAACTGGCCTTTGGCATTGCGTCACCATGCTTACCTGATTGTTTCCATGTCCGTTTGCGCTGAACATTGTTGTAGAGGACCCATTTCTCATCGCCCGTCACTAGTCGATCCAAAAACGACTCGTTATTGAGCCGCTCGAGTAAAGAAACGGCTGCAGAAATTCGCTTGATTTTGTTCTTCTCGGTCAGCAAATGGGGTACCCGTATATCGAGCTTCAAATCGAATCCCATCTTTTTTAAACGCCGAAAAGCGGTTGATCGGTCAACGTTTAGTGCTGTAGCAACTTCTTCTGTTGAAATTCGCGGATTATTGAGCACTAAAGTACGCAAAACATCGTCATCAATGTCAGAAGGTCGACCAGAGCGTGGCTCGTCTTCAAGGTTAAATTCTCCGCGCCGAAATTTAGCAAACCATTTTTCCACAGTTAGTTTAGCTGGTGCTTCATCCTGGTAAACATCCTGAATGTTTTTTTACGGCTGCGGCAACGTTTATTCCCTTCCGAAACTCGTAAAGCATAACATGCCGTAAATGCACCTTATCGATACTCATTTTTAAAGTGATATTTCTCGAAGCAGTTTGTATGAAAACAAATGATTTTTTTTTAATAACAGCTGAAGACGTCACCTTTCCAACGTTATATAATATGTAGATGGAAGTATTAATGACAACACTTTACGACGCTTATAACTCCATCTATTGAAACTCCGCACGAACTTTTGCACTCACCCAATACTATTTTCAGATGAGTCTACATTCACAAACCATGGTGGCGTTAATCGACATAACATGCATTACTGGAGTGTAGAAAATCCCCACTGGTTACGACAAGTTAAACATCAACGTCCTTAGTCGGTTAACGTTTGGTGTGGAATCATAGGGAACAGACTCATTGGTCCTTATTTTATTGAAGGTAATTTGAATGGAATCAAATATCGAAATTTCCTGGAACAGGAACTACCACCACTACTTGATGATGTTGCCTTGGACGTTCGACAAAGTATGTGGTTTCAGCATGACGGTTGCCCAGCGCATAACTCAATAGCAGCATGGGAAGTATTAGACCGTGATTACAATGGTCGGTGGATTGGCAGAGGTGGCCCGATTAATTGGCCTGCTAGGTCGCCTGATTTGACATCGCCGGATTTCTTTCTGTGGGGTTACCTAAAAGATAAGGTTTATCAACAAGTGCCAACAACTCGTGAAAACATGGTAGAACGCATAAGAAACGCTTACGCTGAAACTCCCGCAGATATGCTTCTATCCTGTGTACAGTCATTTGAAAAAAGGATCAATAAATGTATTGAAGTTGAAGGTAAAAATTTCGAACACTTACTCTAATTAATTTAACAGTGAGAGGCAAGGGGACTCACATTAAAAAAGCACCCGAAGGGAATATAAAACTACTATGTCCTCGTCGTTGTTCCTGTGTAACGCTAAAAGTAGTTTCTCGGAAAAATTCAACGCTATCTATCACAAATGAAAAAAATTGTTTCAATAAAAATTTCACGTACAATCTAATTCTGCAATGAAAAATGTGGGTCCCAATTTGAGATTTGAACGTTATCACCCACCCTACCCCGAGAGAATGGGGGGGAATAACTTTTATTATGTTCTTTAAAAATATTGAACAGGTATTTTTTATTTCTCAATCCAATGATCATTTCTGGAGAATTGCAGAAAATATAATTTTTTGCGATTACAGTGCCATCTATCACGAATCAAAAAAAAAGTTTCGGACAAAATTTACGTATTTTGTGGCGTAGAATCCGTATCTGCAATAAAAAATGGGGATTTCCATTTAAGATTTCAAAGTTGCCCCCAACTCCCACCTCCAGGGGGTGGGGTGGGAGGTCGAGTTTGGTATCATTGGATGTCCCCCTTCGAGACTAACAACTTTCATTAACCACTTTTTTTTATCCAATGCATAGTTCTCGAGATATTTTAATGTCTTCAGATAAATCGTGCACCCTGTATATACAGGGTGTCCCATTTTAATGTCCCACTCCAAATAACTTTTATTTTCTATTGTAGAAAACAATGTTTCAAACAAAAATTGTATGGTTTTGAAGACGGCATAAGATGATGCCATTAGTTTGACATTGAATAGTTTTTTGAAGGTCACATGAAGGTCATCTTTAATTTCTTAAATGGAACTACCTACTTTTCATTACATATTCTTCTAGTTTACATCGATAACTTTCCAAAACTCTATAATTAAGTACCTTTTCGTTAAGTACTTTTTAAGTTATAAGGCAAGATCGAAAGCACGATACGGCCGGTGAAAGCAAGATCGAAAGCAGGATCCGGCTGGTCAATGCTAAATTGGAGCAGTACAATTATTGTAGGTGTTCGGAAAGATTGCCATTTACTTGGATACAAATATCCAACCTATGGCGAAAATCATCCCGCACTTTTCGAAGGACATCTGCGTTTATGTTCGTACATGTCTCTCGAATACGTTCCTTCATGTTTTCCGCTGTTGTAGGCTCTTCCGCATAAACTTTTTCTTTTACGTATCCCCAAAAGTAAAAATCGAGAGGGGTTAAGTCAGGTGATCTTGGTGGCCATTCATAAGTCCGACTACCCATTCCAATCTATCTATTATTAAATCTATTATTTAAATAATTCGTAACATTTCGGGATTTGTGAACTGGTACTCCATCCTGCTGAAATCACATTCGGTTAAGCAAGTAATTATTGACATGTCGCAAAAGGTTAGGCAGATCATTCTGAGCCGGGGTGTCGGGGAGGCAATACGGGAGTAGTTCCCTGACTCCCCCCACCACGATCCGAAAGGTAAATACTCCGGTGGGGTTTTAGCCGGTAGGAGTCCAGCATAATCCCCGCCCTCCCTAAGGGACGGGGGTATCCATGATGGATTTCCCCACTGTTATAAAAAAAAAGGCAGATCATTCTGAAGAAATGCTAACTAATATTGCGCGTTTAGATTCTGTTCAAAAAAGTATGGGCCTATGATGTCATTTCCAAGAATACCTACCTAAATGTTAATAAACCATTGTCTTTGAAATTCTTGGCTCCTTTGCCAATGAGGATTTTGATCAGAGTAATAATGATAAGTATGTCTATTAACGCCTCTTCTATTACCGAACGTGGCTTCATCAGAAAAGAGCATTTCTGCGATAAAATGTGGATTTCTTCGAATTTAATTTAAGGCCCAGTTACAAAATTGCAAGCGTCGTTCGAAATCCCTCTGTTTTAATTTCTGGGTTAGATGGATATGGTAGGAGTGGAATCTATTTATTTTAAGTATACGATTTACTATCGATTTCAATATGCCGTGTGGTCTCTCGATTTGTCTGGTGCAAATTTGGGGATTCAATACAGCGGCACTCAAGACAACCAATGAATTTGCCTCACTTGATCCAGATTTTTGTCGTATCCTTTTTAAACTGCCCTGCTGTGCCCTCTCGGTGAGTTTTCTTATTGTCTTTCTACACGGATGACGTCTGTTAGGATACCTTTCAGCATACAGCCTTTCCGCTGCACTGTAATTATTTCCAGCCTCACCCAAAATACGAATCATGTCGACTATTTAATTCGGCGGATCATCAGCCATAATTACAGGACTAATAAAAAATTTCGTAACAATGCTCAAAATATTACATTCTCCAAAAAAATATCGATGCTGTTTAACGTGCATATGGGGTATACTTGAGTAATGGGTATACTTGAGTAATGGGGTATACTTCAGATCGAAACGTGGTTGTCATAGTCAAAATTGGACCGAACGTTCAAAAATCCAAGAAATTGATTTTTTGAATTTTAGGTAGAAAGTGACACGTGCTTTCGATCTTGCCTTGACCGGCCGGATCGTGCTTTCGATTTTGCCTTATAATTTAAAAAGTACTTAAGCAAAAGGTACTTAATTATAGGCTTTTGGAAAGTTCTCGATGTAAGCTAGAATAATATGTAATAAAAGTAGGTAGTTCCATTTAAAAAATTGAAGATGACCTTCATGTGACCTTCAAGAAACTATTCAATGTCAAACTAATGGCATCATTTTATGTCCTCAAAACCATATAACTTTTGTCTAAAACATTGTTTCCTACAATCAAAAATAAAAAAATTATTTGGGGTGGGACAATAAAATGGGAGACATCCTGTATATATTTCTAATTATTTTATGTTCGATTTATATTTTATTTTAGCACCTTTCTTATAATCCTGGATTTACAACAAAAAAAAGTAACGGAAAATAACAAAGTAAAAGTTTCAAGTAACAGTAACGCGTTATTTTCTAAGACCAGTAACGAGTAACAAGTTATTTTTTACCGAAAGTAACGGTAACGGTAACGAATTACTTTTTACTGAAAGTAACGGTAACGGTAACGAGTTGTAGGGCGAAGGGCCCCGTGACGCGCTCTATGGCCGCTGCGAGGGCGCCACTTTAGACATCTCGATGCACGTGCCGCGAGGAAAAAGCAGAAGAAGAGAGAGTCAACCGTTTTGGTGTCGTGTATGGTTGTCGGGAAGAGAAGGATTGTATGTTCTTGAGTTTATCCAAAATATATTCGGCGGCTTTTCTCTTAGTGTCGGGAGTGTTCATCCTTCACCCTCTCTCCCTCTCCCTGCTGGTCCTAAGCGTCGTGAACGAGCGTGGAATACCCCTAACCCTACGTGCGTCGAGGGGATACATAACCTCGCCACAAAGTTACTTTTGACAAGTAACTTTTCCAATTCTGGTATATATATATAAGGTAAGTTGGACATTATCGAACTGAATAAATAAAGCAAATGTTGTATAATGCAAAATAAAACAATTGTTGTAAATGCTATGTCAACAGTACATTAATCTGCTGCATATTTGGTTTTGTTTGCAGATATAATGCCATCGTGTTGTATAAAGAATTGTAAAAGTCGTACATTTTACACCGACAAAAGAAATATAATGTTATGTCCTGCGGAATCACCAGACTACTCGCGGAAGGGCAAAGCGGGATAATGAAAATAAGGAAATCAGTAGGAGGAAAAGCAGCCGACGTGGACTTACACCTGGCGCGAGCCAGTATCATCGGCTACAAGGAATTCAAGCAGGAATTGGTGGCGATTGGCCAGGCGATCGAGACTGAAGAATTACGCCGCCCCTTCCCCTCCATTTAGGACACCACTTAATCAAATCTAGAGATAAGTTTTATAATGATAATCCTAAAGATAATCATACACATAATCATAGGATAAGTACACATATATAAAAAATATATATATAAATATACATGTACTTTTAAAGAGAAAATAATTATAACGAATTTTATTTTTTTTTCTCGATATAATATCTATAAAATCTTAAACTATAGGTAGCAAACTTTTAGGACGAAAGGAAATTTAAAGGTTACTTTCTACCTTTTTTTTTTTATAACCCAGGAGAAACCCCTTATAGGTACCCCGACCCTTGGGGGAGGGCCAGGGTTATGTGGGACTCGCACCCACTAAAACTCCTGGGAGAGACCTCCGGCCGGACCTGATGCGAAGGACGGGGAACAAGTCCCCCATTCCCTCCCATCCGGTTGCTTTCTACCTTTCCTCCTAAAAAAAAAAAAAAAAAATACTCTTATCTAACACATTAGAAGGACGAAAGAAAAAAAGGAAGAGGATTTGGAGGTTGCCTTCTATCTTTCCTCCTTCTAACCCCAAAAATTACAATACATACACAAACACATTTATATCTTAGCTAATAACTTTCAAAAAAGGACAAAGAAAAAGAAGGAAGAGATGGAAGTCACCTTCTATCTCCCCTCCTTTTAATTATATTCTAATCAATCTATAGGTATAGCAACTAAAACTGCGTAGTATGTAAGCTTTGACATAATACACTCCGCTAGCAAATGTTGGCTATCCTCAACATTTGTCTAAGGTGGGGGGTGTTACGTCCTGCGGACTCCACGTACTTTGAATTTGTTGTCGAGTAGGGCGGATTACATTTTATATTATACGACGAAATGTTCATATTCCGCGACCCTCCGAGAACAGTGACGTCACACACATACGCACAGATTTCTCTTTCTTTTTTTCCTCTGCTTTAA